CAAAGCAGTTATTTTCTCCGGGGGGGGGAGATCTGTTGTCTGGAGTTCAGTTGTGATACCTGGTGATCTTCAGGCTCCACCTGGAGGTTGGCTACCCTAGGCGTAGCATTCAGTGCTTCAGAGTAGGGTCTGCTAGATCTAGGTTCTTGCTGTAGAAGCTGAGTGGGTGATTTTGGACCAGTCACAGACTTTCAGTCTAACCTACCTCACAGGGTTGTGCAAGTCAAAAGAGGGGGAGGAGAATGATGTAATCTGCTTTGGTCCCCATTGCAGAGAAAGACTACTTTTCCTCCTGAGAAACCATTATTGCCAATCTCCAGATGAGAGTTGGAGATCACTCAGAATTACAGCTGCTCTCCAGATGGCAGACATCAGTTCCCCTCCCCTGGAGAAAATGGTTGTGTCCTTATACCCTGCTGAGATCCCCCCCCCCCATGACAGCCAATGTGACATGGCAGTCAGGGCTTCAGAGCACGGAACAGGCTGCAGGTGGAGGGGGAGATGGAAAGCTAAAGAGTGAGGGGGAAATGGAAGTAGGTTGATAATTGGCTGGGAAGGAGATAGGGTTGCCAGCTCCAGGTGGGAAATTCCTGGAGATTTGAGGGATGGAACCTGGAGAGGGTGTGGTTTGAGGAGGGATGGGACCTCAGACAGGTACAATGCCATAGACTCCATCCTCCAAACCAGCCATTTCCTCCTGGGGGAACCATTGTTGCCAATGTCCAGGTGAGGGGTGGAGATCACTCAAAATTACAACTGCTCTTCAGGTAGCAAAGATCAGTTCCTCTGGAGAAAATGGTGGACTCTGTGTCATTATACCCTGCTGAGGTCACCACAGCAAATTAACGCTGAGTGCCCAAGGCCTTGGCACTCTCCCAGAGCCTTTTTCTAGAGCTTGTTGTATTTATTTCCACAATGAGCCTTATTCCTAGTTAAGAATAATTGCCATGTGGCAAGGAAGGAGAACAGGACAACTTTGTTTTCCTTTCCTCTCATGCAAGGCAGGGTGATTTTGTCCGGTTCCCTCTTCTTGCTGTAGCTTCTTGTGCCACATGACATTGTTCTCAAGACCACCCCCATCCTCAGCAGTAGCTTTATGCTGAAGGAAGGAAAAGGCAAGAATGATCCATTTCCACAAATCCTTTTAATTTGTGGGAGCTTAGATCCAACCCATGTAAAAGTAAGTGCTTCTGTTTCTTTTTTTAAACATTAAGTATTGTTAATTTCTAATCATTTTATTTTAGGTAAACGTTGCTAGCTACCTCCAAGTTCTGTGTTTGGCTGAGAACTTACGAACAGATATAGGTGACTTGTCTGCTTTGCTAACTACAAATAATTGTGATATCAGACAAAGTATTCTCCATTTACAGTTCTGGGTTAGGAGTGGAGGTGGCTATCTGAAAGGAAAAAAAATAGTGCTTCATGGTAAGTATGACTTAGTAATAGAGGGGAAAAACCTTAAATCTATCTACATATTACTCTCACAATGTCTTCAGCTTTTCAGTAATATATTCAGGCAGTTCTGGTTCACAACGTTTTGAGATACATTTGGAAACAAGATTTTATTTTCTAAATGAGTCCCTAGTTGGACAGTAGATGTGTAAAGAACTGGAAATAAGATGAAATTTGCAGGAATGTGGAATACTGAGGTTCAGTGGAAGGTACTGATACATAATATAATGGAGATGTGGAAAACAATGATATGCAATTTGTATTTTATATTTGATGGAAGTAAGAAACAATTTGGAATGTTAGAGTTCCGCTTTTTGATTGGAGCCCTGTATAACAACTATAAAATACAGCAAATTCGGTTTTTATAAATAAACATATTTATGCTTACAGAGAGAGGTGGTGGGTCAATTGAGCTTAACCAGTAGCAGGCATGGGGGTTTTTTTGCCTGCCTGCTCACCCTGCTTCCTCTTGGTCTTTCATATATGGCTGCTATGTTGGCGGGAGGAGTCAGACTACTTGGGCAGTGGTTGAGATGACAGAGTGAAGCTGCAAGAAGAGCAGTTTAGACTTGCAGAAGCAAACAGCCATCTCATAGAGAAAAGAAACTCTGTATTTGAAATAGTTGTATTTAAAACTATGCTAGGAATTGCTTGCTTTGAATAAAATGGTTGAACTTGCTATACAGCTATCATAGTTTATCATTTCTGTGTGTTTAACTTAAAACTTTTGTTAGGAGGAAACAAGAAGGCATGTGGCATGGAGCAGATTACGTGCACTGATGATCCTGCTAGTTGTAAGACTACTGAGCTGCCTCTCTTAAAAATTCCAAAGTGTGACACTGGCTGCATTGAAAGCTTGCTTGGCCTGAAGAACATTTTTCTGCCTTCAGAAGACTTGCTCTCATTTCTTAAGGTATACTTACAGTGGTACAAGTTAGTTACCCAATCATTACAAGTTGTTGATTGACAATGGCTTTCCAGAAAATGAGCCCAAATGTTTATTAAAATGGTCTGTTCATTGTTCAGTACCTCCATCTCAGTATGCATCATCATAAGAGAATTACTAGTACAATTACATCAAAAAGTCTTATAACATCTTAAAGATGCTTTAAAGGCATGAATTACTGTAGATATTGATTAACCTTATTAACACAAATAGTTTCTTTTTCAGGTTAATATGCTCTTGAATTTAAGCCTCATACAGGTGGAATGAATTGGGGGGGAACAACTATGATGGTGCTTAGAAAATACCTTTTTAAAAAAACCTTAAAAGATCCACTTCTAGGGAATTTTTAAATCCGAAGGTTCCTGCTTAAGCTAAAAATATATTAATCTTGTATTGATGATAACTGTGGAATAGCTGTTGGGTCCATTTTAAGAATTAGCTATTTCTTGCAGTTTTTAGAATTGGATGCGCTTCAAATCTATTAATGTAAAATCATTACTTATTTCCATTTTTCACAGCATGAAATCACATCCAAAGAAGAATGGAGTAAGCTAATTCATCTCCTCACAGAATTCCAGGTGAAGAATGTAGACTTTATTTATAGTAACCTTGAGTTAACTTTACCATTACCAGTTACTGTACTTTCAAAACCAGCTCAGATGGTGAACCTTCCACTTAAAACAATCACAGAAAAAAAATCAAATCATGCACCCCTTGATGGTGACTGCTTGGAGGAAGCCAGCCCAATGAAAAAGTCTAAACAGACCAAGCACCGGAGAAAAATGGCTCTGTTGGATGATAGTGATTTATTTGAGAGTGAGCTGAACTATTCTGGGCTCATCACTGTGCCATCTGATGTATCTACCTCATGCATGGAAGAAGAAAAAGGTGGACTGAAACCTGCAACTGATAGCACAATAACATTGAGCAGTGGAATGACAGAAGCAAAAGGCTCAGCTCATGCATTCCAGTGCCTAAATTCATTAGCGGAATTTGAGGAAAATATGTCTCTCTTAGACTATTGCTTAAATAATAAGACTCAAAAATCAAAGCAATCTTGTAAATATGAGGAATTTATTTGGACAAAAGGCAAAATAAAACATGGGCTGTCCGATGACTTTAGTGAGGAGCGCACAGATTGGTGGAGTTCCAAAAACAGCAGTGAATTGAAAGCAGCTATGGAGGCACTGGCCTTCAAGAAATGTTCTAACGATGTTTCAAAAGCCATGCAAAGGTGTTTGAATGCTGGAAAAGATGGATTTGAAGAACTTACACTCTGTATTTCCAAAGAGCAGACCAATTTACACTTTGGTCAGTTGTCAGCTAATTCCAGGTAAGTTCAAAAGACTTCAAGTTCAAAAGTTCAAAATATATACAGATGTGTGCTTAGATGCCCACAGAATAGTACAATAGCAAAAGAGACTGCATTTTCTTCTAAAAGTTTGTCAGTACAAAGCACTTCAAATTTGCTGTAGATTTACAAAGCACAACATGCTTTAAAAAGCTTCTCAACAATATTAAGATATTCACTTGTTAACCACCAGTCAAGCCAAAAAGAACATGAGCCATTACCCACTATTTGTTTTTACCCATTCAATTAAAGGTTTTCATAATGATTCTACGTGCTGTGCATCAGCTCCCTTTGGATCAGCAGTTACTCGTTATTAAAAAGTTTGATTTTTTTTCCCCCAATCTATAACTAGCTGCTGTTATCAAGTGTCCCCTGATACCTTTCAGGGACCTTTTAAACATGATTGACTAATGATGTTTCTGGTCTCAGTGTAACATCAATACCCAAGCCCTGTTTTGGTATATCAACTATTTTCCATGTGTGCATGAAATCTACATCTGAAGATTTACAATAGCAACACATAATTTGAAGATTCTGGCTTATTTCTGTGGCATAAAGTGCCACTGGTGTACCATCTTCATGATAGTTTCTTTAAAAGACATACTAAGAAAGAAGATCTGTATGAAAATCCATATTTCCAAGCTTCTTCAGAGATGTCACCACCAATGCTCCCTCTAAGCCGTGGAGTCTTGTGAGCAAAAACTCTACTTTGTGAGCTAGTGGCATTAAAGTTGTGAGTGATTTGGCTGCTGCATAAATTAGTTTGCTCTGGAGCCATCCTTCCTGAGCTAAGACAAAAATGTGTGAGCCAGAAGCTAAAAACTGTGAGCTAGCTCACAATAACTCAGCTTAGAGGGAACACTGGCCACCACCGAGATCCATATTCCACTTAAGTTGAAACTTTGGTCTATTATTGGTGTTAAGTCTACATAATAAATGTCTAGAAATACTTTTGGACAGGTAACGTCAGCTGCAGATATTCAAAGATTGTTATCTTACCATGACTTATTTTGGAGACTAGGTTAAATGAAATTACATTGTTAGGTGTTACCTTCATAAATCAAGATAACTCCCACTTTGTAAGGGGCCTGAACATCCATTGGGGTTATGTCCAGTTAAAGTGACTTGAATCGATAGTGAGATTTGGCATTATTCTGGAGGCTTGTTTAATTAGCACAAGTTTTATAGACTGCCATGCTTAAAAATTATCATAGTATATTTGGGATGTGGGTACTACTAGCATTGGCTTCTAAAGTTTCAGAACTCTCCGGTAGTTTTTCTGTGGGTGGATTTTTTCTGTGAAGCACTACTTTCTCAGCTCTCAAAGTAGGCCCAAATGCCCCCTGAAAGGTAGCTCCTGGGAACAGCAGACACCCCCTCCCTCCAAGTAGCAGAGAGGCATGGAACCCAAATCACTGATTGTACAATGGATGGGCACACATAACAAAACTTAAAATCTTCTGGGTTATCTTTCTCGTTAACCTAGAAATGGGATAAGAAACAATGTGCTTTTCTTCCACAGCATTCATGAAAAAGCCCAGAAGAGGTTGGAAATAATCAAAGCTGCCTTTTCCAATAGAACTCCTTTCAATTTGAGCAGCAGACAAGCCAGTATTATAGAATACTTGCCTACTCTCCGCAACATCTGTAAGTCAGAGATGCAGAAAGAACAAGGAAAAACAAAAAGAAGGTAAGCTTTTGCTATAGCAATATGTGTGTGTCGGAGAGTCTTAAATTGCATTTAATAGCATGGATGGGAAATTGTCAGTTCATAATCCTGCATTCTAAATTCCTATCCTAACACAACTGCTTTTGTCCTTTTAAAATGTATATATTTTTTTGTCAACCAGATTTCTCCATTACCTTGAAGGAATTCACTGTGATTTTCCACGAGAAGTTTTGAGCAGTCTGGCAGCTGACTTTCCTTAAAGTGGTTGATGCCATGAACGCCTTTGTACATATAAAATCATTTTAAATGTATATTCAAAGTTCTGTTTATATTTTGATTCTATTTAAAAACACAAAATTGTATATATGTACTGTAATGGTGCTAAACTTTCTTATTGTACTGAAATCTACACCAGCAGTGTTCAAATAACAACTGGATAAACTTTAACCTTTCAGTATGTGGCTTCGGTTTTTAAGGAGCTATTTCTGTGGCCAGTTGCACGTTTAGCAGCAGGTGACATATTTAAGCCACTCTTCCAATTTCCTCATAAATGTTCTATTTCCTAGAAAATACTAGTCAAATGATTGAAATCTCTTGCAATTAAACTAAATTTGGTTTTATAGCTGTGTCTGTGTAATAGATTTGTCTCCAATATGCTGAGATATTCTATTGTGAAGCATCAGTTCTGTGTAAGGCATGCTTTTATATCAGCAGTTATTGGGGGTTGTAGTAGTATTTATATGTAATTCTGAATATTTTATACTGTATTTTATATTTTACCAGTCTCGGTGGCATTTCTTTTTGTACCTGCAATGAAGTAATAAATACCTGGATGAGGCTTTGGTGTAGGGTATCTTTAGATTAAAAAAAAAATGTTAAACTGGTGGTATAAAATCATCCGTATAAATGTGAAAGTACTTTAGTGTTTTCTTCAACCCCATTCAAAACACATTTCCCATTACTGGCTGAAATATCCCATAGTACCCCATCTGAAAGCAAAGATTTCTTGTATGAGTTATGTGAATCATCTTTCTAAAGCAGCAGCATGCTCGTGTAACAGATGTCTTACAGGATTAATACTGTATTGTGCAGATTGTCAAGCATTTCTGAAGTTATTTGTTGTATGCCAGAAGTGACCGACAGATGGTTCTACACATTTAATTGTAGAGTGACTTGACTTAAAATCTCAGTCTTCTTATTGTGTTCATCTTATAACTGCATATAAAATTGTAATATTTATGTTATTTAAAAAGTTATACATCCCTTAGTCTTGTACAATCAAAACTGCAAATATACCCAACACTTCAGAGAAAACTACAAGCTGATAATACCTTAACAAGTGTACCTTAGTTTCAGTTATACGCTGCCTTTCCCCCTTTGTGGCTACTGGTTACAGCAGGGTTGTCAAACATACGGACCATGGGCCAGATCCAGCTTGAGAGCAAGTAACTCTGTGCTGCTTCAGAGGAGAGAACGAAAGCCTTCCTTCGATTGAAAGAGCCAGAGAGACGGGGGGGGGGGGGGGGGGGGTATTCGG